TCATAAATTTGAGAATTCCGTTTCAAATTGTTAATTGGACATTGAGTACTAAGTTGGTTGCAAAGCATTTACAAATTTTGATAAGTTTTATAATTAAAAGCATTAGTATCATAGACAAACTCAAATAAAAATTTATATTGAATTAGAAGTAAATAGCATTTTCATCACTATTTTTTTCGGTTTACTTGAACGTTTCTTCAAAACATCTTTATTGAATCTTTGTACCCCTACCTATATCCAACTTTTCTTGAGAAAATCTTTATTAAAACTTTTTCCCCAAACCTTTTTTTCAGATCATAAATGTCTCAATGTAGCATAAGGATAGTTTTAAACTTTGATGGTTATATGGATTTAATATTTCAGATACATTACTGGTCGGTTTAACTACAAACTTTTTTATATCAATTTTTATTTCCTACTAAATGATCAGAGGCGATTCTGCAAATAAAATGAGGAGGGAGGGGGAGGTGTATCCTTGAAAAGTACAACTGACTCTTTAAAAGAAATAAACAATATACCCCCCCTCAATCTCCGTAAAATTGCCTCTGTCAATGATCCAATCATGTATTAATACTAAAAACATTAGTGGCTGTTATATTAGTTGTCGAAGATTAAAATTATGTAAAGTTTTTAAATCCCTCAATTTGGATATTTCTTAAAACTCATTTTAAATGAATTTTAAGAAATATTTTGGATAAAATAAAGATTTTAGTATAACAATTTTAATAGTTTTGAATAGTTTATTTAATAATTTTCTGCTGAAAATGCAAAATTTTGTCAAAATGTTATACCGTGAAATGGCTAATTGCAGAAATAGTTTACTAAAAATTGAATAAATTGTTTGTTAGAGCAAATATTACCCCCCTTTTTTTTATTTTTATTTTACGGGTTTTTGGCTTTTTATTTTATTTATCCAAAAGAAGAGTTATTTGTAGACACAAAAAAATTCGTTGTTTCTAGAATTTTCATTTTTCGATATTTTTTAGTTTAAATTAATTTCTTTCAAGTTATATTAATAATTTAAATATTTTTGCATATTATTAGAAATAATTTTGCACAAAATAGTGTTGTGAGTTTTTTAATTAGATCTTTGCAACCTATGCTATTCGTGTCGCATAACTCAACCTACAAAAACGTGCACCTACAAACTTGATCTACAAGATAAAATGTCTACTAAAAAGTGGAATTAATTTTTAGATAAATTGTTTTCAACCTTTTATAGTCTTTTTTTAATTCGATTTATGACGTTTTCATTTTCAACCAATTTTTTCCTCAACCGATTTTAGAGACTTTAATTTTTAACCGATTTGAGATAACTTGATTTTCAACCGATTATAGGCGATATTCATTTCAACCTACTAGTCTGTGTTTTTACCGTTTACTCCAAATTGTATTAAGGACTTGAGAGTAATATTATAAAAAAAGAGGTCAGATAAGCAATATTGGTACGGGAGGAGAGGTAAACATCCTTGTTAAATGCCCTTTTGTGGCTCTACGATAAGACCGTTAGGTCTCCTTGGAGAAAAAAATACCGCCATTTACATCAAATGTTAGAAAAATGATTTTTTTTTTCTTTTTCTTCTTATTATTAAGGTTCTAATTTATTAAGATTAATTCCAACAAGACCTAACGGTTTTGTCGGAAGAGCAATTAAGGAGAAATTTTACACCGCCTGACATATCTAGACAAGGACCTCTCAATTATAAGCCAGCGCTCTAGTCACAGCTCCACGGTTGATTAAATTCAGCTCTGATTCAAATCAACAACAATCAAATCAACAAGAAATAAATAAAATAAATTCGGGAAAAGACCTAATTATAAAGTCGATCGAAAAAACAATAGGTCAAAAATACAGTAGCTTGAAAATACAGTAGGTTGAAATTTCAGTAGGTTTAGGTTGAAAAGGCAGTAGGCTTAAAAATTAGTAGTTCATGTTTAACTAGTAGTATGAAAAATCAAAAGTTGTTGGTTGAAAATCAAAATTGTCATATTCTATGATTTTAGAAATTTTAAAATTAGGTCCAGTTATAGGCCACCAAGTTATTTTACTTTATTTTACATTAATTGTATGATAATCATAGATTTCAAATTTAATTTTTACTCGATTACGATAATATACTGCAATTAAACTTTACATAATATTATTTCCTTTTCATAATATATATTCAAAAAATTATTATTGAAAAATAATTTGTAACTATTTTTGTTTAAATGCTTAAATAATAATAATAATAATAATATTCATTTTTACTTTTAGTAACTTTAAAAAACCTTTCTCATCCTCCAACTCCTAAATCTGAATGGAGCCTTAGTTACATAGTTACTTAGTTACATAGATACTTAGTTACATAGTTACTTAGTTACATAGTTACTTAGTTACATAGTTACGTTAAAAAAGTATATCAACACTAAAAAAATGTTTTTCTTTTTTTTCTCTTTTTATTTTTCTTCATTTTACGAGACTTTATGAGTGCAATAAAAGTTGCAAACAAAAATACAATGAATTGCAAACGCAAATTCAATGAGTCTTTAATAAATAAGTTCTACTTTTAGCCAACGATGGGTTTTTTTTACAGAAAACTTCCACATAAATCTTTTCTTCAAAGACTCCACAAAAAAAAAAAAAAAAAAAAAAAAAATTAAAGTTAACTTAGATTTTAAAATTTTATACAAAAAAAAAATCATCATTCACGTTTGATTAACAACGTTAGTGTTGTTCATTTTTTTATAAGGGTTTTAGCTTTCCCTCCTATTAGCACCACCCCTAATTTTATTTACAGCACATTGTGGATGAAATTTATTTTCATTTATTAATAATTCATTAAACTTAATTATTAAAGTTTGTTGAAATGTTTTAATTATTAGAGAATCTGTAAACACCCTTTATAGTATCTAGTCACACCTTTTATAGTATGGAGTCATACCTTTTATAATATGTGGTCTTGCCCCATTATAATAAATAGTTTAAATAATTTAGTTATAATAGTGAAAAAAGCCACTAAAATAGTTTTATTTATAATTATTACTAAATCAATTTATGCTTATTTGCATTAGATAATTAATTTTTTATCACTTAATCCAAGTTGTAGATCAATGAAATAAAATGATTGGTTGATAAAAAAAATCCGTCAATTATATTTTGATTGATTGATTGAATGTTACATAGCGTCGGTCAATTATAACAAAAAAATGTTTAAGTACGTAAAAAAAAATTGTTTTGGAATTTATTTTTAGTAATATTATAACATATTAATTAACATAAATGTATCACAAAGCGTTTTTATATACACATATATAAATACCGCCATATAATATACCGCTCTGGTAATTTTTTTAATTGAATATTATTTTTAATAAATATCTAAAAAAGTAATTTTAACTTTTTTTAACAATATAAATTTAATTTTAACAAGATAAAGCAAAATTTATCTTTGAAATAGTTTTATCATGTGTGATACTTCTCTACAATAATAATCGCACGTTCTGTAAAATACTAATATTTTGTTATATGAGAGACTATTCAAAAAAACTAATTTTTCAAACTCAACTTTTCCTTTCCTAAACTAATGCGAGCATAGTAATAAATAGTATTAATAAATGGCAGTTAGATTATAAAAACATTTTTGGTAACATTAACTTTTTTTAATTAATGTTAAACATTTAAATATACTGAATTTGAATATATGTATTATTTATGTAAAGCATTATTTTTGCAACATATGCAAGATTAACCAATAAAAATTATTTTTCCACTATCTTTGCGCAATTCCAGTAATAACGTTAATTTTGTACCGAGAATTTCTATCCTGTATCAACAAATTCTTTTTCCTTGTAAACACTAATTTTTACTATTATAAAAAATAGAAGTCACAATAAACTAATCCTGATATTAGGGAATCGTCACCTCTAAAATAGATTATTGGCCTAAAGGTTTGGGTATTCTTTGGTATAGATAAATCTTTTACACTTGCTATAAATTATTCCTTAAATCTGGTCTATAAAACTAATCAGCATAAATTTATATCATTTTAAATCTTTAAAAAATGTATAAGTTTACTAGCTACAATACTGAATGAAAGAAAATTTCTTAGAAAGCAAATTTTGCAAATCAAATTTATAGTTCGCGCCAAATTTATAGTTCGCGCCAATTATAACTATATAATATATTAGACTTACTAAATGAATAAATTTAATATTAAGTTTAATATTTTAAAATTTTATTTATTAATTATTTTATAATTTATAATAGATTAAATAATATATTTTGATAAATAAAATAAAAAAATTTTTTGATATATAAAGCGGAAACCACAGGCAACTGTATTTTTTCGCCCAAATGCTCGTTACCAACTATAACGAAATTTAACACAAGAAGAAAAAAGCACAATGAATAGAAATTAAGTTCTACATTTAAAATTAATTATAATTGTAATATAAAACTAATATAATACATAATTACTTAATTTATTTTGACTGTTGTATTACAAAGTTGTAATGCACAATTTATACTTAAAAATGACCATTTTATAAAGAATTTGAACTATACGCTTGCCAATAAGTAGATATTGTAGAAGCACCGTCCGTCGCCAGTTAATCATTAGACAAATGAATCGGAATTCTATAATCTTTATATATTTTATTCTTTGATGGACGAATAACAATTATAATATGCAGTGACAACTTTTATTAGGCTTACACCACATCCGTTCCGATTTTAATTGATGGCACGTCAACTTATAAAATAGTGTCAGAAGTTACTTCTTGGTTTATTTGAGACCTTTATTCAAAGCAAGATTTTGTTAAAAAATGAAATCTTCTTTACTTGATTATTAACTTCTTTACGATTCTTTACATTAAATTTTACAGGGTTTTTGGCTTTTTATTTTATATATCCACACGCCGTTTTAGTGGACTTAAATAATTAAGCCTTACGAATTTCCTGTATATAAATCCGAGTTCATTTAAAGCGCAAACAAGTTTCATTAAGTCCTGTGCCTTTCGGTAACCGCACTAATTAAGTATCAAGTGAAACTGAAAAAGTCACTGTTTTTTATTCAACGCGAGGTGTTTACGCTGATATGTTAGGACTTATAAGAAGAACCTTTGAGGAATCTCATAACAGAAGCAACTATGTTTACGGTAATATAAATATGTATATATAAATATAAATATATACATATGTATACAAATATTTATATATATATATATATATATATATATATATATATATATATATATATATATATATATATATATATATATATATATATATATATATATATATATATATTGTATATAAAAATATATATATATATATTTATGTATATATATATATATATATATATATATACATATATTATATATTCTTATATATATATATGTATATATATAAATATATATATATGTATATTATATATTCTTATATATATATATGTATATATATATATATATATATATATATATATATATATATATATATATATATATATATACATATATATTTAAATATACATATATATTTAAATATACATATATATTTAAACATACATATAAATTAAACCATAAAGCAAAAATTTTTTGAATTTCCAAAAATAGGCGATAGTTAATGGAGATTATTTATGATATGTATCTACATAATGGAGATTATTTACAAAACTATTAAAGTGGATAGAATTTTTATTACTTTAACAAAATTTATTCTTTCACCACTTTTATATTTTAGAATAAATTTTAGTTTAAAACATAAAAAGCGACGAACTACAAAAAAACAACAACTAATCTACAAATTCTTCTTTGTTTTTTGTTGTTGTTGTTATTGATATATATTTTTTCATTTTCATTTTATTTCATACTTATTAATTTTTTCTTAAACAGTGTGGTATAATAAAAATTTTAAAATTGAAAAAAAAAAATCGGGAACATGTTATGATATAAATTTATTTCAGTATATTGTTATTTAAATATATTTTATAGTCATTACATTACAAGCTTTTCAGCAAAGTTTAACACACTTCGCCAAGCCAAGTGTTAATTTGCGCATGCGTCCATTGTTTGTAGTTAAAATTGGATTAATTTAAAAAGAAATTTTTTTCTATAGTTCAAAGAGAAATCGTTCTGATTTTCTTGTTGGTAGATAATGATATATTTTACGGAAATGATAAAGGCTTAACTGCTTACAGTCAAATATAAAAAGAAAAAAAATTTATTCCACATTTAGTTTTTCAATTGCCAAATTATACTTTGTTATTATCTGATTAAAGAAAATTTTATTGACAAAAACATTTACCTTAAGACATATTTGTCAAGTTACATTTCAATATTACCAGACACAAAAGCAATTAAATAGATATTTACGATCACTTAAAAAATTGCATTAAAGAATAACGTCCTTAAAAATATTTTGTTACTGTTTGGAATAGACTTATGAACAATATTTAAAATTCATGTAATGTTTTTAATATTTTAATTGAAAATAATTTTATCTAAAAATTTCTGTTATTGTTACTTTCTTATATTTTTATTGAAAATTTTAATAAAATTAGTTGTTTATTGTGTGTGTGTGTGTGTGTGTGTGTGTGTGTATGAGTGAGTGTGCGTGTGTGTGAGTGTGTGATTGTGTGTGTATGTGTGAGTGTGCGTAAGTATATATGAATTGAAAAAAAAACTAATATACCGAGAATTAGTTTTTACATTATTATCACGTTTTTCATGAGCATAAATATACTGCAAACACATAAAACAGCTTTTAACCATCACAAATTTATTCTACTTTCATTGGTGTTTTTATTTAAATCATTAATTATGATTGGTTCTTTTTAACTATCACTCATGGGAATATATTTAATGTACAGTTTCGAACAAGCCAGGTGGTAATAAATTAAACGCATCTTTTTTCTCATACGATTTAACTGGTGACCACGCTTCAAAACGACATCGTGCAAAATATTAGAACCATAAGTACAAACTTGTAACTATGTAATTAAAATTTACAAATTTTGAATTATGAATCAACAACAATAAAATCACGCCATTCCCTCTTCGTTCCCGCCTGTAACTGAACTTTGGCCATACAGATCGTGTTAGATGACATGCATTTACAGAAACTTAAACAATCCAATTACATAAAGTCTATACAAAAAGAGCGTTATGGGTATATTTAATAATTCAATGGCAGGTTCTTGGCAAGTACTGTGTTTGCCTGAAGAATGCGCTAAATTTAAAAGTTTCAATTAGGTGTTTTGTGCATAAAAATTGGAAAGATCAAACGCTCCTTCGGTATTATATATATTTCAATTTTCTTGCGTTTTAATGAAAGATGTATTCTCAAGAAACGATTGATTCTAAAGCAACGATGTTTGAGAGACCCACATTTGTTTTACAAGGTAATTTTTCAGAAGTACATAAACTTTGAAAAGTCTAAAGATTTTATAAAATGCCTCTGCAATAGTTTAAAAACATTAAATGGAGTCATGACAACATGAAATGTTCTAGGATTCAGTTAATTACTTTTTTAAATTTATTTATACGACATAATCAAAATATTTTCTTTTAAGACGCAAGCATAGACCTTTTTTTATTTTTATTTTTTTATTTTTTTCACTCAAAAGATTCATTTGACACAGCATAAGAGTTTGGAATAAATTTTGTTGTGGGTGTTGTTGTTTGGTCTGTGTTACTGGCGCTTTTTCCATCTGTTCAATGTTCAAACTATCTAGACTCAAAAAATCTTTGAACATTTAAGAAAAAAGATATATAGTTTAACATGTTTTACTTTGCCATTTAATTTCAACAATCATCATTAAATATACCATAAATAAAATAGGAAAACATATATTGCAGACCCGGTATATGTTGTTTCTGCAAACTTTGTTGTGCGCATGCGTTTGCTGTTTTCCAAATAAAACTTATTTAAACAAGGACCGAACCAAACAGAAAACAAACTAAACACAAAACAAATACAGAACAAAATGCAGCGCATGTTATAAAAACTCTTTATTGTCAACAAAATTTAATTAAATTTTTTAATTGATTTTGTAAGGGACTTAAAGTTTAAATAATTAAAAATAATTATTATTTTTTGTTAGCTTCAAGAATTTCTAATGATGGCAACACTTCATTAGACGATTTAAAAAAAGAAGATATGAATGATAGTTCGGTGCATTCTTACCATATGTGGCTTAAAGAAAGACAAAACGCGAGTGAAAATAACAAGTCGACTGAAAATACTGCAGTGAAGGAAGATGAAGACGATGATAGCGGAGAGGAAAACTTTCGCGTAGATGCTGTTCTCGAACGAGGTCCTTCGCCTCCAGAATCCGAAAACTCTAATTCGTATGAATGGTCGTATGAAGAGCAGTTTAAGCAGGTAAAAATACTTAAAATATATTTTAAACAAATACAAACAAACAATAAAAAAACTTAACTTGTTTTACCAGTTCCATTACAAGCTTTGATTACATGTTTCATACAGACATGCAGTCTGCAAGTTTAACATATCAAATCTGCAGTCTGTAGATATATATATATATATATATATATATATATATATATATATATATATATATATATATATATATATATATATATATATATATACATATATATATATATATATATATATATATATATATATATATATATATTCTGCTTAATATTATTCAGATTAAAATAATATAAATAACAATTAAATGTTACGCAATAAAAAAATATATATAATAATAGATAATTTCATTTTACAGTTATATGAAATTGACAACGAACCTGAACGAAAAACATTTCTTGATGAATATTTTGAGTTCATGAAAAGCAGAAGTGAGGATTTTTTCATTGTTTTAAATTTTTATCAAAAATGTTTAAAAATCAAAACTCTCATTTTTTTAATTAATATTTTTTTTAATCAAGTAATATTATTTTTCAGCAACCCCCGTTAGTAGAATTCCGATAATGGCAAAGCAAATTTTGGACTTGTATCAATTATACAACCTCGTTGTTAAACACGGGGGCCTCGTACAGGTAAAATCGACATTTTTATTTCTGCCTACTATTTTGGAGAAGCTTTGAAGTAGATTAAAATTACTTATATTGATTATAGGTTATTCGAAATAAACAGTGGAGCAAAATAACAAAAGGACTAAACCTTCCAACTTCAATTACCAGCGCTGCGTTTACACTACGCACGCAGTGAGTATTTGAATAATTTAAAAAACTTTCATAAATATTAGCATAATAGGTACATTTATAAAAAAAAGTATCCGTAATTATAAAAAAAATATTTTCAAAAAAGTATAATAAAAGTATATATTAGAATAAATATTTTTACAGTTATAAACAATTGTATAAATATTTATATAGCAATTAGTAATATAAGTATTTATATAGTTATAAGTATATATGTAATACCAAATTAAATGTTACTTATTGTGAACATTTATTAAAGGTACTTGAAATATTTGTATGCATATGAATGCACTATGCATAATTTATCAACTCCTAAAGAATTACAAGCTGCTATAGATAGTAATCGAAGAGACAGGTTTTCTACCTTATATCACTCGGAGCCTACAATGACGCCAAATTCTCGAGATGAGCGTTTTACTGGATATCCAGTTAACGGTTGTGAATATCCAGTTACTCAGCAGCGTCATCATGTTCCTCCGCATCCAGTTTTAGGATCACAAATCGACATGCGATATGGATTAAAACGGCACAGCGATGCGTTAACTTCAAAGCCGTTTGATAAATACATGGATAGTCCCAAGGTAATTGTTCTGCAAGACGGAAATCCTTCAATGAATGATACTCGTGATCCGCGTGATCCTCGTGCTAATAAATTAAGTCCTCCGCCATCATTTCATCATCGTTCTCGTTCACCTAGTCACGAAAATGAAATGCGTACACTTGCACGACATGTATTAGAAGAAGAAACAAGAAGAAGACTTATATGTAAAGACAAAAATTGCAACGGGGTAAAATTTTTATTCAGATGTTTTATTGATTTGTGAAAACTATTAAAACTGCGGAAGGGAATAAATATTATACAGGCAAAAGCAATAATAATTTTTTTTTAATGATAATTGTTAAAATGTATATTTAATTTTAGTTTGATTGCCAATACCCAAGACAAGATTTTCATAGGCCAAGAGGTCATAACGAAAATATGCTAAATACGTGCACATGCGCATACTGTAAAGATTATACATCAGGAAATAATTATTCAACAAATCTAAGAGACTTATCACGTCATCACATGGATGGAGCAAGTGCAAACCATGATGCTACAAGAAGCCATTTGCATACTTCTCCGCGTGGAGAAAGAAATTTTTCTTCTATACCAACTTCTGTAAAAAAAGATGATAAAACTAACGATAACGAGACTATGACAACTTTGAAAATTAAGCTACCAAACTTACGCAAAGGCGGTACAATACAAATTTCTCTTGAGGTTGAGGGTGTTCTTTATGAAGGACTTATGAGCGCAAAAACCGTAAACAACAAAACAAGTCCGTCGGATAACAGAAATGAACCGAATGAAAACTCCTGAAACCTTCTGCTTTGTTGATGCGGTATAAATAAAGACAATAGCATCAATTGTACATATAAACTGCTTATATATTTACGCATAGATTTGTTTTTTAGTTGTTTTTTAATACAGAAGAGATTTTAGCTAAGTTATTTGTATAAAATTTTGTTTTGTTTTTAATGTATATATATATATATATATAATTTTTTTTTATTTTTTTTTTTGCGCAAAAACCGTACCTAGAAGTAAACAATAATACACTAGAACGCAATTGTTAACACAGGAGTTTTTATTTTGCAAATAAATTTTTATATTTTTACGCGAATTAAACACATGTTCTGTAAATATGCTTAAATTTTTCTGAATAATTTTGCAGCTTACAAAGAGAAATCATTAACACGCTGGTATGAATTTAAAAATTGTTCCTGCATCGACGGAAACGCAGCATGATTTAAAAGAAAAAAAAATGAAAATTTTAGATTATTGTTAGTGTTATTATAAAAACCAAGATATGAATTTACCCGTGGTTTTATATAATAGCAAGAAGGATAAGTTAAGAAGATTTAGAAGTTAAGAAGGATAAGTTAAGAAGATTTCTGAGCTTCTACTTTTAAGTTAAAAGCTTCTTCTATTTTGGGCGCAGTACTAAGTTAAAGTAAAAATTAAGGATATATATTGAATACTTAAGTTTAATAGAATTAAGTAAAAATAATAATAATAATAATAATAATAATAATAAGAAGAAAATATTCTAAAAGACAAAACTTTTTTAAGCTTTTATTTTTTCTCAAAGAAAAAGCAAAAATTAAGGGAAATTTTATAAAAAACGAGAATACTGCTAAAAAAGTAAGCCATTCAAAACAAAAAATCAGAACATTTCGTTTTGCCGTGAGTTAATTAATTTTTAAATTGATAAGCAATATAATAGTTATACAATAAGAGTTATACTACAAGAAAGTTTACAAATTAAAATCAATTAAGTTTAATAAAATATCACTAATTCTTATTGCACATCTATTACTCGGATTTATGGCTAGAAGAGCGTCACAAAAAAATGGCTGCTCAAATTTTATTTTTTTAAAAGATTTATAATGTGGTGAGTACTTTTTACATTATCATTAAGTTCAGTTATTATTATTTTTTTATTAATATACTGATATTTTTAATAAGTCAATAGGTTTTAGCGAATAATGCCGACAACAAAGACATAGATTACTTGAATAAAAATTTTAAATCAGCTTTTAGTTTGCTTCCGGCATAATAAGCGTTTGCGTATCGAGTATAATATTCCGACATAATAAGTGTTTGCGTATCGAGGAGAGCCGCTTTTATTTTTTAGTTGTTGTTCTTTTATTACAAATTAATGTATAAAATATATATATATTTATATACTGAGTGTGAATTTTATTTTTAAATTTCAACGAAGAGGAGGGGGTTGATTATACTTAAAATTTACTAGCCAGTTGTGTGACCTATTTAGAGCGCTATTGATGTCCGCCTGCAGTTTTTCATAATTAGAGAAAAAAATGATTTACATTAATATTCCCTATGATTTTGGCATCATCTGCGTATAATTTAGTATGGTTATAAATGCAGTTTGATAAGTCAGACGAAGAGCACAAATAGCTGTGATGCAGGAGCTGATCCTTTAGGGACGTCCTTTGTCACCCTTTTCCACTCAGATAATTATTCTCCAATTACTACTCGTAATTGTCTAATAGCGAGCCAACCAGTGATTCAGTTTCATATTAAGCTTCAAATACCACAGGTATGAATATTTGGTAGATCTAAGCAAAGCCTTTAATATAGTTGATCATATAATTCTTTTATCTAAACTTGAAATCTACGGTATAAGAAACTCAAACTTGGCTTAGTTTAAAAGTTACTTGTTTAACAGGAAGCTATATATTTCATACGAAGATGGAAAAACGTATAATATGGCTATCACATGCGGTGTTCCCGAGGGTTCAATACTAGGACCCCTCTTGTTTCTAGTTGATATTAACGATTCTTCTAATATATGTGTAAATACTGGTTTAAAAGAAAAGTTTCAGGATTATGAGCATTTGCGTGCATGCTTTTTAAGTATATAATTTTTTGCTATACTATAGCATTGCTATGCTATAGTATACTATAGCATTGCTATGCTTTTATTTTGGTATTTAATTTTTATCGTTTTGTTATATTAAAATAAGAAAAAAAGTAAATTTTTATAATTAGAAAGGGGCATTCAGTACCTATGAATTTTATCTTTTTGTTTGTTTGTTGTTTGTTTCTTATAAGTATAAAAAGTCAATATAAAAATATTTTATATGCTGTAGTGCTGTAGTTTTACGATTTTTATATTTTATTATTGTGTTTTACGGTATAGATTAAGGGGCTTGGCAATAAGACAAATGTCTTCTTCTTGCCCCTGCTATTTGTATTTACATATGTTTTATGTTATGAATAAATTCATATGGCAAAAAAAAAAAAAAAAAAAAAAAAAAAACGATTTAAATAAGCCTTTTAATATCTTAAACATAATTTTATTTGCCGATGATATTAACTTGTTTTATTCCAATGAAGATATTAATTTTTTATTTTTAACAGTAAACAAAGAACTTGATAAACTAAGCCAATGGTTAAACCATTGGCTTACCAAAAAAACTATCCCTAAATATTATAAAAAAAAAAAATCGTTCAAACTATCGAATCTTTTTATTAATTTTTATTTAGTAATTTAAAAAAGGGAAATATCGTTAAAATTCTTGGGCGTAATTCTAGATGAAAATATTAATTGGAGAGAAGACATAAATGTAATTAAGAATAAAAATAATATATTATTACATAAAATATTGGTATACCATACAGTATACCAATAAACAGTTTATTGTAATTAAAAGCTAAACAGTTTTTAAACTAATCTTGTTGGAAATATATATACTTTTCATTTATACATTGTTACCTAAAATACGCAAATATTGCTTGGTGCAGCACCAACGTTACAAAAATGAATAAACTTCTCTGCAAAGAAAAACATGCTATTATGATTATTACAAATGAAGGTCGACTCTCCCATACAAAAATATTTTTTAGTGTTTTTGTATGGGAGAGTCAATATACTAAATGTTTTAAAAATAAATCTTTATCGAATTCTTACATTTATGTTTAAACTTAATAAAAAAAGGCACCGTCTTTATTTTACTCAATATTTAAAAAAATAAATCATATATACAGCACAAGATTCTCAAAAAAAAACTTAACTCAATCCAAAACCTATTATTCAGCCATTAAATACTCAGTCACAAATCGAGAACCTAAAAATTATGGAATACACTTTTAAACGATGATCTTAAACCACTCTCTTCGCTTCACCAATTTGAAACAAAATTTAGACAAGTTCTTCTACTAAACCACAATGAATTAAATTTTTTCTAAGGCCTTAAATATGAGCACTCTTATGATTTGATTTAAATAATATATATATATATATATATATATATATATATATATATATATATATATATATATATATATATATATATATATATATATATATATATATATATATATATATGTATATATATATATATATATATATATATATATATATATATATATATATATATATATATATATATATATATATATATATATATATATATATATATATATATATATATATACAGTGGCGGAACTTCAAAATTTGGGCCCCCCCCGCAAAAGAATGTTTTTTTTGCGGAAAAGAGTTTTATAGTATAAATATTAATGAGAGTATAACTTTTTTTATATGAGGGCTCCCTATAGCTGGTAGGCCCCCCCCCCCCCCGCAACGCAGGGTCCTGCGTCCAGTAGTTCCGCCACTGTATATATATATATATATATATATATATATATATATATATATATATATATATATATATATATATATATATATATAAATCAATTGTAAACTTTTACTCGATTTAATTTCATCATTTGTTTATTACTGAGGATTTAAAAAAGTTTGTACTATATATTCTTAAAATCTTATGTAAAAAATACCCCAAATTGTTTGGCATGTATTTATATGTGAGTGTGTGCATCACTTTTTGTCTCTTTATTTTGTTATCTAAGTTGTTTTTATTTATTTATTTATTTTTTTATTTATTTTTTTATTTTTTTTTTATTTTTTTGTTTCTTCTATTTTTTTCTTTATTTAAAATATAATTTTGAAGAAAACTTTATTGGTATTTAAAAGATTTTGTATTATCTTAAACGGTTTTTAAAAGCTATGATATATATGGTATATATTACGGGGTTTAGTGATAAGACAACTATAGTCTTCTTTTTGCTATAATAGCAATATATATATATTATATATATATATATATATATATATATATATATAACATGACAATAATTGTCATGTAAATTTTTATTTTTTTATTTTGTTATTGTAATTATTATCAAGCGGCGAAATATATATTTACAATAATGAATCTTATGAAGTCGTTTTGCGGTACGTTGCCAACTCTGAGTAAAATAAAATTTGCTTTTCAACCTTTTTTTTTTTTTATTTTACAATGAACTTCATTAAATAACCAAGCAAGTAATATAATAGAATTTCAAGAAAAAGTAAAGAAAAAAAAATTTTAATTGAAAAAGGAAAAATTTTAAGAATAAAAGATTGTTTCATTAATGTTGAGGTCTAGAAGCTGTTGCTTTACAACGCATTTAAAATGTTGGAATGGGTTTATCGTTTTTATTTTGTTTGTTAGAAATGAGTTCCACAATTGGGGTCCTCTGCTGGATATTGAGAATTTAGATTGTCTTAAAGAGGTTTCCGGAATACAGTAGTTCTTGATAAAGTATTTTGTTTGATATTTGTGATTAATAAGGTGAAAATAGTTATGAAAAATTTCAGGGACCAGATCATTTTTGAGTTTAAACATGAACTGAATTATGCAATATATATTTTGTTCGTAGATATTTAAAACTCTCAGTTCTCTCATTAAATGTTTAGAATTGGAATTTTTATTTGCGTTTGTTAATATACGACACGCTTGTTTTTGTTTTTTATATATTAAATCTAGTTTTGATTGGTAGGTACTAGGCCAGGCAATATTGCAGTAGTTAATATAGCTATGTATATATGCAAAATAAAAACTTTTAAGGCATGCATTATTTAAAATATATCTA